GGTGGGGGCCTCTTCAATCCCTCGAGAGCTAAGGTGCAAACAAAAAAAAAAAAAAACCCCCAAAAAAAAAAAAAAAAAAAACTAAACAAAAATCCACCCGCACCATTCCAAAGTGACAAACGCAAAGTGATAATTAGTGTCTTTTCTCCTTCATTAAGTCCCATTGAGTGAATGTGTGTGTGTGCATGTGTGTGTGTGTGTGTGTGACAGCTGCCGACAGCCTGGCGCTCAGGCCCGTTTGAGCTGTGCCAGCCTCTGCAGCAGCTGCAGCTGCTTGGCTTTCAGCTGCTTCCTCTCCTGAGCCTTCTGCCTCTCGCTCGCATGCAGCTGCTGCAGGTACTCAGTGGCCTGAGTCAGGATCGCAACCTTGGGGGTCTTGGGACAGTCCGCTAAGCCTGGGATCTCGTCCCGCAGCGACAGGAACCGCGAGCGCAGGTCGTTGCGTCTCTTGCGCTCCAGGAAGTTGTGCGCTTTGCGTTTGTCCGTGTCTTCGCAGTCAGACGACTGAGGGCTGGAGAGGTGGGACACGGAGTGAGCCTTCGAGGGTGACGTCTGGAGATGGAACGAGGATAAAGAAGAGCAAGGAGGCGACGAAGGTGACGCGGACGAGGTAGGAGAGGATGCGCGGAGGTTGGGCGACTCCGACCTAACCCCGTTCAAGGCTGCTTGAGACTTCCTGCTGTCCATGTTCAGAGGGGCGTGGCCGGGCCGAGGGTGGTGGTAAAGAGAGTTCTGGTGAGGCTGGGTGACGTGGGACGAGGGGTCTTGTCGGACCCGTTTTCGAGGCGGGTCGGCCGGTGGTGAGGGGAGCGTGTCGGGTGACGGCGCAGCGTAGTTGTGCTGCTGTTGGTGGATGGAGATGTGAAACCGCTTCATGCCGAGGTCGAGGGGGTCAGCTCGCACCGTTATGGTCACAGGTTTGCGGGTGTTGACCATTCGCCGAGGCTTCCGCTGGTTGTGCTCCACCGTAACCACGTCGATCTCCTCATCGTCGTCCTTATCATCATCATCATCTGAAAAGGACAGAGGAAACATCTTTAGTGAGAGGATAAATGATACTTTCACACCAAGAACAACGTTGCCAGGTTTTAGAAAACTGTTGTTATCTATTTAGGGTAGGACTAAAAAAAAAAAAAAAACCCAACACATACCAGAATATACACCCCAACGACGCACTCGCCCATTAATCCAATAAAGATCTCACGGTAGAAACTCTCCATTTGTTCACAGAGATGATGAAAGGCTGTGTGAAGATCGCCTCAGGTGAAAACCAGCTAATCGTCGACTTGTTTTAACAAGATGACTAATATTCCAAGCTACACAGATTTAATGAGCCAATTACTGCTCTTTAACGAAGAGTTTAACGGGCTTATTAAATAAGTCCGACTGTCGCTGCCTTTATTCCATCTTGATATTAAAAAAAATAAATAAATAAAAGTGACCCTAGCCATGTGGTTTTGATTGCTCAAAAAAACCTCATCTGCGTATGCCTAGCAAAGGGAAGAGCGTAGAACTTCAATGGTGTGATAATATCTAACAATAGCATGGATACAGGGAAAAAAATATTTAAAAAAAATTAAAAAAAACTTCACTTCTCGGAGTTTCTTCCTGCCTTTTTTTCTTTACACATTAGCTCACACACCGTGTTCGGATATAGTGTAAAAACCCCGCCTTCGTAGAAACCTGCAGCCCTTGCTGACCTCCTAAATGGCTAATCCCACTCTATTCACAGCCACCGCTGAACAGGATCAAATCCACCCACTGACACAATTGGCACTGCTGCCTGTTGAGCAGAGGAATGCAGCAACAAGTTCCTTTTGTGACATTCCACGCACCATTATGCATGCCCCTGGCTCTTAACATCACATGGCAGCCTACATACCAGACCTGATCATATGTGTTTAAAGAGCATAAATAGAACAACTTGAGTATGAGTATGGGATACTCGTACTCAAGCGCAACAGCGTTCCCTTTTCTGCAGACTCCTTGTTACATAAAGTTGCAGTCACTATTGAAATCATGTCAAATGTGAGACACAGAGTGCACAGGAAGAGGATATTATTATCTTAAGTCCAAGTGGAGGAACAGAGAGAGGTAGCAGCTGGCCCACTGGAGCAGCGCCAGGCAGCAGATGTTTGAATGGGCGTGTCACTCTGTGCTCAAAGCATGTGTTGAATGCACCAAGGTAACGCAATGCAGTCATGTGCCATGCCAACCCTGACTTCACAAGAATAGCCAAAGCAGAGACAGGATATCTGAAAATAACTGATATAAAAAACATCATAGTATAAACTACACCCCCCACCATCTCCCAGACACAAACAGTGCAGCAGAAAAAAAAAAAAAAAAAAGGAAAACACACTCAGACTCAGTACTCGGTTGTATTATTTAGGGTCTCACTGACCTGATGAGTCGCTGTGAGACTCAGAACCAGAGGACACCGGCTTCTTGCATCCACCGCTTAGAGGAAAAGTGAGCACCGCAGTGGGGTCCACACAGTCTCCCGCCACGGAGCTGCTGAGAACTGCTGCTTCAGCAGGCACGAGCTGCGCTCTCGCCGGGGAAACGACCGCAGACGCAACCTTTGTGGCGGCGGCGGCTGCAGTAGCGACTGTCCCGGGACAGGAGGCGCCGCAGCGCTCTCCTACAACTCTTTCGAGCTGCTGGCCGGCCGAGAAGCCGCTCCACATGCAGTCCTGAATGATGATGGAGCTCAGGTTCCCAAACGAGTCGTTGGTCGCGGTGAGTTTGAAAGGCAGGTCCTGCTGCTGCTGCAGCTGATGGTGGTGATCATCCTCCTGCCCCAACACCTGGGACACCCACTCCAGCTTGTCCCCCAGGGATGGGCAGAGCAGCCCGACCCTGCCTGATCCTTCTACTGTCCGGATGGGGGACGTGGGCGGGGTTGGTACCAGTTCAAATTTCTTCCATATGTCCTCACTGGGTGCCGTGGACTTGAAGAAATCCTCGTCTGGGTTGTGGTCGTCATAGAAATAGTGTTGGTAATGATCCAAGTGGTCCATGTCCCAGTTTTCATAACGAGGGGCAGTTGAGGAACTAATGCCCGGCATAGGGGTGTGTTGAAGGGCGGTCAAGAGGTCAGTCAGTCCGTGTTTCCTTGATCTGCGAAAGGGAAAGACCCAACAGCAAACTGAGACACATCACCACAATGTCTGTCTGTCTGTGGACATGTTGTCCTCTGAGAAAAGGGGGAGGAGGGCTGCTGTGGCCATGCTGATAATGCTGCAGTGTTGATGCAATCATGTGCACATTGTTGTCTTATAAAAAGGAACATTTTCACTAATGCAGGAAAAAAAACAAAGCAATTGTCCTTTTATTGTAATAAATAATAATTAATATTATTTAAAAGTCCACTCTTTCTGGATCCTTTCAGATGATTCAAATAATTACATCTTATAAAATCATTAGCGTTGAATATCATTGTAATTATTAAGATGAGAACATGAAGTGCCAATTAGGGCGACACCCTTAATTGAACCTGCGCCGGGTCATTTAAGTTCTATGATTATGACAAAGAAGCCGAAACTTGAGGCAAAGAGGACTCTAACGTTGAGCTCCAACACGACCAACAGTTACAACTTCAACCTTGTTTGCTTTCGCTGAGTTCAACTTCATGTTTCGCAATAGCGTTTCATTACATAAGACTTTAAAGTGTAGTGTGACAGGGAGGAGGAGGAGGAGGAGGAGGTGGTGGAGGAAGGTGTGTGCAGGTCAATATTACTGCTCAGCGGGCAGTAATTAGATTAAATGGTTAACAATAATTTAAAAATAAAATAAAATAAACGAAGTTACTGATATTGACTTTGATCAACCTGTTTTTTTCCTCCCTGTTTGTTCTCTGTGCAACTGCGCGCATCAATTTCAAAGAAATCAGCTGTGGCTAAAAGCGCACGTTGTTTGGTTGAAATTGAGCGACGGCGGCAGCGGCAGCAGGTTCTGTAGTGGAACAAACTAAAAGTTCCCATTCGCAGCCGTAACAGAGCGTGTGTGAGTGATTACAAATCAAGTAAGAGTTCCTGGTACCTGGTGTTGCTGATAGTGCAAAACCGCCCTGCGTCTTCATAGATCCGCAATGTCACAGTGTCCACAGTGATTCATAAAGACTTGGCTGCAGATGTGAAGAAGCGTCTCTTCCTACTCTCTCGCGCACACATGCACGTACAAGCTCATGCGTGTGCGGTCTCTCTCTCTCTTTCACAGAAGTCAGTCCGTTCTCTGTCAAAGACGCTCGGGTACTAAATACTGTTCGCACTTTCCTTGCAGACTGCTGCACTAAATGATTCCAGGGAAGCTGGGTTGGTTATTATGCAGATGGGGCGGGGCGTAGTACGGGAGCCACGCCCACACTTAAAGCGCCACGACTCACAAAGAAGAACGAAGCCCCATTGAGAAGAGGCTTTGTTATGACACCGTTCACAATTGACAAGGCTGCGAAAAATACTGATTTAACTCCGATATTGAACGTTTAAATATTATTTTTTGAACTAAAAAATGTTAATTTAAACATACGTACGCATAACAGTACAAAAACAAATCTTAACTCTAATATCTCTGAGGATTTGAAGGCTTATTAAAGCATTAACGTGCACAACTCTATTTTTGCGGATTTCTATATGACATTCTGCCTTTATTGTTTTGTTCTCTTCTTTCAAAGGATTTTTCAGTTGTCTTAACTGTAACAAAGAGAAAACTGCCTTTGATTTTTACCGGCAAAATAAAAGGCAGACTTAAAAACCCTGAACACTCTTATGTAAAAGCATTAACATCTGTTTGCTTTTATCATGCCGCATGAGGAAAGTGTAACCACGTCCATGACTGAAATGGGTTATAAAATGGATTTTTTTTTTCACATGCACATGCCATGAGGACATATGGCTGCAGTATCTGATGTCTGCAATGCATCTCAAAGTCTTTGTAATCAATACCAGGCCTATGATGTAGAGGCCCAGCTTTGAGAGAGACAGCATGGATGCAGCGGTCTGTTCTTGTGTGTGTTCATGTGTGTGTGTGTGTGTCTTGACAGCTGCACACACACAGCAACAACTGCTGACACTTGTTTTGCCAGCCACGGATGAAACCGCTGCAGCTACCAGACCACTTAAAACACAACAAAACAAACTAGCATTAAGACTTTTGGGGATGATTTGGAAACCTCCCCTGTTCTGACTGCTCCTCACCCCCGTCCCCGCTCCCTCGTTCATCTCTGCAGGGAAGCAGACAGCATGAAATCTTTGTCTATCCTCTTTCTCTTCTACTCTTTACCCCATCCTCTTCCTTTTAACATCGTCTGTCAATCATTCTCTGTTCTCCTCAAGCTGTTTTACTCTGCCCTTTTTTCCTAACACCCTTCACCCCACCTATTGCAACCATGTCCCCACTCACCAAGATTAAACATTAGGGGGTTAACTACTTTTCCCAGCAGAGAGTGGTCAAAGATAGTAGCAGGCAGACTGGAAAATTAAAAGTGAATTTAAAAAAATATTGTTTCTTTAGTGCTCTTTTTGTGTTACATTCTTTGTACCTGTGCTGAATGAACCACCGAGTGCATGGATTGGCTGAAAAAACCCTTTATCATTCTTAAGAATTTCGTGCTATTTTTGTAATTCATACATGAAAAAAAACCTCCACATCCCCCCTTTTTTCAACAGATTTTCATTGACAAGAATATGTAAATGGTATACTGGCAGATGCGCAAAGGGTAACAGCTCATTTACAACAAAAACCCAGTGTGGATTAGTGAACCTTGTTTGCATGAAAAAGGAGGAGCTGATCTGACTCCCTGTTAATTCTCCTCTTTAAAGCAGACATATAAACAGTAGCAACATTAAAGAAACTATCTCACAGGATTAGTGGGAAACCTCACGAGATACCAGTTAGCCAGCGTCTCCTCCCAGAACGGGGGGGGGGAGGGCGCGCTGGTGTTGAGATGCATCACGTTGATGTATAAAACCTGACCAAATAAAACAGTAGTGAATGAACTGACACTCGTTCGCACCAACGCACCCAAGCGTTGGGTTTCCATCCATCCATCCATCGACGTAGAGAATAGAAACAGGAAGAGCTCATGAAGTTCTGCAGCGTTACATTTAAATATTTGTCCTCCAGCAGCCTTCACTATGAAGTCTGTACAATGGATGACTTGAATTATTTGATTATATTTAATGAAGCTTTAATGATCCCCAGTGGCTGCCACAGCAGCAGAGAGCGGCCCATAACGCTGCACACAGGAAACTGCAGAAGATAAAAATGAATAGACGAACTATGGGTTGGATAACGGTGCATTCTGTTCAAGTAAGAAAAAAAAGACATAAATTCAGTTATAACTATAGTTGCCAGATCTCATCTCATCTCATGAGACCAGGAAAGGTACATGGTGGATTAAGAGCTGACAAATGTGCATCATCAGTGCGCTAATTTCCAGTCAACTGGGACCTCAATCCCCAAGGAACATTTTCAGCATTCTTGTTAAACCTGTGAAATGAGATATTAGGCCAGTTCTGAAGGCGAATCCATCAAAAACTCCAGAATTGCTAACGATCTCATCGTAGGTGTATAACAAAGGAGGAGAAATGTCACGGAGGAAAGCAAAAGTCAAGACAGACCCTCCTCCTCCTCCTCCACCATTTTTATCCATCCAAACCACCTCTGCAGCGCTTCATGTCTGACTTTCCAGACTGATCAATGTACACCTAGTGGTGGACACTCCCACCGGTGTGTCTGTGGTGTCTGGGCAGCGGCAGGCTCACTTCATGTAATATGGAGAGAAAAATCGACAGATGCTACCCCCCTGGAAGTCGTTGCCCTCCTGCTGACACACACACACACACACACAAGGCAGAAAAGATAAAGATTGACCGAGAGGATTTCCTTTCATTCCAGATGCTCACTTAATCAAGTCGCAGCACACTGAGACGCTCAGCAGCCACACATCTTTGTCATGTCCATTATCCTAACGTAAGGGTTGGGGTACATCCACGTCTCATGAAAGTATAAATCAAGGGACCAATGTTTAATTTTTCAGGAAAGTTTATAGGCTTTGGAAACACAGCTAGATAAATGATTTTTACAAACATTTAATTCACCTTTGTATTTTTATTTTAGTAGGTTAGAAATTCTTAATTCCAAATAGCAGATTCACTACTTTACGTTATAAATAAAAGGTAGATTTATTTAGGGTTTTTTTTTTTCTTGTTGTTTTCCTAAATAAATTGAGACATCCAAATTCTTCTTTATTCTCCTTTCATCTTTAAGTATATTTAAAGAAATGTAACAGTTAAATGGTCATTATAGAAAAAGCTATCCCAAAACCGAAAGGCAAAAAACAACATTGAAAGCTTTGTGTGTGGTGATTTTGTGTTACTTCAATCTCTGGGGCTCCTTAAAACTCCCTAAAACTAGGGTCCGAATCAACATTTACTTTAACCTAACTGGTCCGGGGGTCAAAACCCATTTCTGTGAGGTCACATCAAACTACACCAAGTCAATAATTGAACGAACTGTGTTCTATTTCAACATAAGAGCTAAAAAGTTATTATGTAACTTTAATACGTTTTCGGCCGGACTAATGGTTTTTTTTTTTACTCCTGTCTGCGTTGAAGCTTGACTGAGCAAAGACAACAGCTCGGTGTAATGAAGTGGAGAATTGATTTTAATCAAAACAGCAAGAAAAGCTAATGATTAGCGGTTATTTGGGAGGGGAAAAAAGAAACCAGCACGGCGACAGGAAATCTATTCGCTCTGATGAAGATAAGACTGATCACCACACATACCAGGAGACAGGAAGCCCCTGAGCTTTTCCTGTGTAACAAGCATCACTGTGAAATATAGCTATGGAAATTCGGTTTTTTTTTTTGTTGTTTTTTTTTACATAAAGCACAAAACGTCACACACAAATCAGCCGCAGCACTGATTAACAGGCTGTTGATACTCGGTGGCTCCTCTTCTCCGTTTACGGCAATTCTTGGAAGAAATCAATTGTGGAAGAGCAAATTAGCGACACAAACTGTACCCTGCAGGGCTGGGGAGGGGTCTGGAGGTGAGGCGGTGGGTGTAGCCATCCATTGATGGGTTAATGCAGTGTGCATCTAATACATTTAAGGGCGAGATGCATTGAACTGGGAGCGATAGTGATGAGCGTCTAATGACCAGAATTGCTGAGAGGAATTTAAAGTTTTTATTTTTTTTTAAATATATAAAAATATATAGCTATAAACAACTTGAAGTCAGCCAAAAAAGCACATACTTAACGGCACAGTTGCTGTGACTCACACTATAAATTTCCCCATTCTTTCCCCATTTTTATTATTACTATCACTTCCCCTTTTATAAA